CCCATCGCTGAAGCGGCACACAAGGCTGCCGGACTCTTTTCTACATTTGATTACTTTTTCAGAAAAAGCTAATAATGACTAAGAAACAGCAACTTAAGGAAAGCATAGTTCCCTTCTGTATAGAAAGGCTGCTTCTTTGGAGGTTAATGTGGAAGGGCCTGTGCTTCCCCGGGAAGGGAGAGGAGAGAAGGACCCCAACTCCTCCGCAGAAAGGAGGAAGGGGTGAGGGGAAGAGAGCAGAGCAATCAACCACCTCACAAGGGCTGCCCCACTTCAGGATCCCAACTTTACAACCCCTGCTGTGGCCCCGCCCTGGAGGTTGTGGCCCCGCCCTGGAGGCTGTAATCTCTGCCCCTGCTGTATCTGTGGCCCTGCCCCTGCGGTGGTCACCGCAGCTGGAAACCAAGAAAAGAGGTTGGCTACTGGGCAGTGTGACACCAACTGTTTACCTCTCTTCCACTGAAGTTAGATTGTCAATCTCCGTCATAACTTCAGCAATTTCGTATTTCAGCCTCTGTGAAAACAGAAGAAAGAAATTGGAGGGCAGGGGTCTTTACCTTCCCCTCTTAGACTCAGAGAAATCTTAGCCTTCGGACACAAGCTGCCCCGAGGCCCCATCCAGACATCCCAGGTCTGGAAACATCAGTACTTTCTATCCATGCAGAGAGAGAGCCTCTGGGCGGGTACAGCCCCAGCTCTGGAGAAAACACACTATCGTCCCTCCACTCATCAAGGACAAGCAGGGAGGGGTCACCCAGGCAGATTCTAGAGTATCTGTGTGCAAAATCCAGAGGCAACACTGGGGAGGACATCACAGGTGTGGCAAGACACAAGAGCAAAGGGAAGTGGTGAGTCCTCAGCTCACTCCCTACAGCTCTTCAACTCCTCCCCCGGCCCCGGGGCCGCCTCAGCTCTTGCGAAGAGGAGGGAGAAGGTGCAGCTTAAACGTGCAGAGACCAGTATCAGGTCCCTAACCGCCAGTCACAGGGTGAACGTCCACCACTCTGCCCGACACAGAGCACCATGGACAGAGCCCAGGAGGTGACAGCAGAAATCACCTGTGGCACTTGGATACGTCAAGAACAGCAGAGGGGACAGGCTCCCCTGTCCCTCCATGTGGCTCTGCCACTTACTGGCTGAGAGGCTGTTGGCAGCCCTCTTAACCTCTCTGGGCCTCAATGTTCTCAACTCAAAAATGAGGTCATTAGGGGTGCCCAGGTGGTTCAGCCGGTTAAGTGTCCGACTCTTGATTTTGGCTCAGGTCACGATCTCGTGATCTCACAGTTTGTGAGTGTGAGCCCCACATCAGGATTCACACTAACAGCATGGAGCCTGCTTGGGATTCCCTTTTTCCCTCTCTCTTTCTCTGCCCCTCCCCCACTCGCTCTGTCTCTTAAAAATAAACTTAAAAACATTTTTTTAATTAGGTCATTAGAGCTACATAAGGTTCCACAGGCACTACCATTATTCATGTCCAAATAGGACCATGAACCTTAAGATACATTCTTATTCCTCAACCAAAGCACCCATTCTGGGATACGGTGATTTTTACAAGAAGGAAGGGTAACCTTGCAAGATACAGTTCCACAGATTATCTTCCAAATACAGAGAAATTTTTATTTGGAATACCACTCTTTTCTTCACCAAGGAAGTTCAGACTTCAGACACGGGCTCCTAGGAAGGAGCTGCTATGTGGACCCGGCTTACTCTTGCAGCAAGTGGCCTGTGAGGCCACATTTATTTTGGCGTCACCAAGATTAAGAAGCTTCTCCGAGAAGGGCCCTGTGTCTGAGTACCTTCCTCGAGGAAGCCCCAAGGGGAAGCAGCCCTGGCCTCCCGGATCATTTCTGCCACGGCCCCAGACGCTCTGAGGCTGAGGCTACGGTCTGGCCCCTCTGCTCCTCCTGCAGGGCCCGCTCTCCCTGTGCGCCGAGCACACACACGTGGCAAGTATGGTGTCTGCCCGCGTCTTGTCGCCCTGCTGCCACCAGCTCAGTGGCGGCACATTGACTCATTCAGTCAAAGGACATCTGCATGCCAAAAATGTGACAGAATGTTCTAGATGCCGGGGATGTTGGCAAACGAAATAGGGGCTTATTCAATTTGAAAGAGCGGTGAATCTGTCGACTGCTGCCATTGTTCAGAAGTGCCCTTTTATGACTCTGGAGTCACGTGTCGCTTGCTGCTGACTCCAGTTCCGTGGTGTCTGCATTTGCACCCCCAAGTCCACACTGCCCAGAAATCACCACCTCTGCCTGACTGACTTGGGTAACTCTTTCCCTGTCTCTTCACATATTAGGATACAGACACACAACGCACCCACGTTTTACACTTTCATGAAGCTACGTGATCATTTTACCTAAAAGCAAAAACTGAGGGGAATTTTTGGTTGTGGCCTTTTTTTTTCTTTTACCTCAATGTCATCAATAAGTTCCTTTTTTCTTCGACGAATGTCTAAAAGTTCTTCTCTCTCTTCCAGTGAGAGGTCTTCAGGCACTGGAAGACAAAAAAATCAAATTCAACAATTAAACTACCACCACTCTGGAGCACAAGTTGACAATACCTCGTCAGGTTGAAGACGGGCATGTGAACAAGCCAGCAGGGCCTGTAAGCAGGTAGGTGGGCATCTATCCCCAAGAGAACCCCACCATATACACCCCATGTAAGATACTCACAGCGGCATTGCTTGTAACAGAAAACCCACACAAATATCCACTGATAATGAATAAATGGTGGTATATTTAGAAAGAAGAATCCCATGCAACAATAAAAAATGGCTGAACTCAGTCTACCAACACAGGTGCTCTTCAGAAGACGGTGCTGAGAAAGCAAGCTGCAAAGCGTACACGGGCCTGTTTGTAGAGGCTGAAAATCGAGCGCGTGCTTCCTAAACGTCCTGCAGACACGCCGTGTATGTCCAGCAGAACAGGCACACACAGGAATGACAGACACCAAGTTCCTGTAACGGTTCCTTCTGAGAAGGCTGGGTGGCAGGAAATACATTCCAGAACGGCAGAGAGAAGTGGGTGGAGGGCGGCCAGTACATGGGTAATTGAAGTTTTTAAATTATTATTATTGGCAGAGAGTTGTTCATAATATCTTCTTCTTAATGATTAACCTCCCCCATTCCTGCTACGTCTCTTTTCTTTAATTGTGTGGCAACTGGTGTCTCATTAAGCTTTTCAAAGAGCTTTTGATTTTTAATACTCCTCTATTGTACATTTAATTCCTATTTCGTTAATTTGTTTAAAGAAACAAAAGGTTAAGAATCTGATTAAATAGCAAGAGAGCACATAGAGCTTCTACAAACAGATTAAGAGAATACAGTCATGGTGCAGAGGTAGACATGGTGACCAATGCACCCGAAGACTATAGCCAGAAAAGTACCCCCAGACAGGGGCACCTGGTGGCTCAGTTTGTTAAGCGTCCACTCTTGACTTGCGCTCAGGTCATGATCTCACAGTTTGTGAGTTCAAGCGCAGAGTCAGGGCTCTGGGCTGACTTCAAGGAGCCTGCCTGAGATATTCATTCATTCATTCATTCATTCATTCATTCATATTGTCTCTCTCTCTCTCTCTCTCTCTCTCTCTCCCCCTCCTCCGCTCTCTTGTGCGTGCTCTCTCTCAAAATAAATAAATAAACTTAAAAAAAAAAAAAAAGTGCCCCCAGACAGACAGAAACCTAACACTGCGGCTTCAAAAGACAGGGCGGACACATTGATAAGTGACAGGTGCTATATGCGATCCATCAGTTACCCCGTATACAAAATGAAGCTGAATCCCTACTTATCATCATACAGATCCTCAACCAGCTGCAAGGAGAAAAAAGGCTTAACTGTGAAAGGCAACACCACAGTTTTTACAACAGGGGAGAGCATATCTACAGTTTCAGAGTAGGAAAGGATTCTATTTTAATTTTGTTTTTAACATTTATTTATTTTTTTGAGAGACAGAGAGAGTGGGCGGGGGAGGAGCAGAGAGAGAGAGAGACAGACACACAGAATCTGAAGCAGGTTCCAGGCCCTGAGCTGTCAGCAGAGAGCCTGATGCGGGGCTCGAACCCACAAACTGTGAGATCATGACCTGAGCTGAAGTCGACCGCTTAACCGAATGAGTCACCCAGATGCCCCGCAAGATTTTTTTTGTAATATTTTCTTAATGTTTATTTTTCAGAGAGAGACAGAGACAGAGACAGAGCACCAGTGGGAGGGGCAAAGAGGGACGGAGACACAGAATCCAAAGCAGGCTCCAGGCTCTGAGCTGTGAGTACAGAGCCTGACGCAGGGCTCAAACCCTCAAACCCTGAGCAGAAGTCAGATGCTTAGCCACTGAGCCACCCAGGCACCCTAAGAGTAGGAAAGGATTTCTTAAACAAGACAGGGAAAAACATAAATTATGCAAACACAGATATTAATAAATTCACCATTAAAATTAAGGAGCTTTGTTCCCCCAAATTCCATACCATAAAGAGCTAGGCCACAGACTGTCAAAGAGTTGGTATCCAGAATACAGTACTTGTACAAAGAAGGGGATAAATTTTAAACCAATGCTGAGAAAATGGGGAAAAGACTTTAACAGGCACAAAACTGAAAAGGAACAGATCAATGGCTGTGTGAAAAGATGTCAACTCTTTTAACCGTTGGGGAAATGCAAATTCAAATCTCAGGGCGGGACCTCTACTAACAGGGTAGTAAACCTCACTGAAACTAAAGTGAGGCAATTTCTTAAAACTCAACAACCCAGGAGGACAAAGATAATGGGGAAAAGACCACGTTTTCAAAGCCAGGAGACAGACCAGACCAGCAGCGACTGGCTTAACAAACGTGAGGAAGAAGAATCTTCCGCCCACAGGGAGGGAGAGCAAGGCGTCACCTGACTGACGCCAGGTCCCCAAGGGCTTGGGAACTGGCTGCAGCAAGTAAGTCTGGGGGCGGGCTGAGAAGAGTGAGCTCATCAGGAACACTGGATGCGGCTGTGTGAAAGCCATGGGATCCCTTGATGTCCTCCAGCTCCGAGGAGCTGTCATCTCTAGACAGCGGTGGACGAGGGACCCAGGGCACCACACACACGAGGGCACCACACCAGAGGCAAGGGATGCCAGTGGCGCTGACACCCCCTCCCCCACCCAGTCTTCTCCCCGTGGGGCTCCCGGCCTGCTGGCAGCCACCCTTTACCCACCTGTGCCAGCCCAGACTAGAGGGAAGAGTCTTCTCTACGGCATCGACTGGCTTTAGATGTAAGGATACCGATGTCAGGGGACTCCTGGGTATGTGTCCACCCAGCAACCAGCACACCTACGGCACCCCACAGAGAGGTCAGTCAACAAGGCCTCCTGACACACTCGGCTATTTATTTCAATAACCTTCAGCCCTGTGCTCTCCAACTGGAGGTGAGCCTCTGACGCGCAAAACAGATACCAAGAAAGGCAAAAAGAGGGGTTATACCTTTGCGGGGCAAGAGGTGCTGTGGGGAGGCAGGGTGATGCTCTCCCCCCACCCCCGCTGCCTGCCCGGAGAACCGCGTAACTGATAAACAGAAAACCCGGAAAACATGCGTGCCTGTCAGACCCGCCCAACGGGGCAGCGTGGCGGAGGAGGGAAGAGGGAGAGCGGGAAAGAAAAGGAGAGAAGCAAAGAAAGCAAAAGAAGCCTGCATGGCCACTGTGGAAAACCAGCTAGTGCCGTGGGTTCGTATCAAAGATGTGCCCCAGCGACGGGCCACAACTGCGCTCCCAGGTACGCGTCCTAGATAAATTCTCAGACACTGCAACTGCAGGTACGTATCGTGAGGTCAAAGAAACACACTTTGTACAAGAAAAAAAGAGAAGGAACACCGGCCTAAATGTCCATCCAGGGTCGGGCTGGGTACATACGCTGTGTGTGCAGGTCAGAGAATCCCAACCACAGTAAAAAAATAATAACAATAAATTAAAAACAGGCACAAACAGATCATCTCAGGAAAATAATATGAACATGAATGCTTTCTGCAAATTTCAAAAATAAAAAAAAAAAATCACGCCCGTGGTTTACGTGTACGAGTACATACGCAGTGAAATGATGGAGACGATCACTGGAAAAATAAACACGGAATTGAGATTCTTCTTAGGAGGAAAGACAGGGACACACGGGATACCTTGAGAGCAGGTGTCATGCTCCACAGAAATGTTCTTTTGCCAAAAGATATTCTTCTTGGTATCAAATAAAAATCTAATTATTAAACCTTTAACGAAAACATTTTTTTAAAAGCTAGGCAGAACTCTTGGCCCTTGAGTGTCCCCATGATTTCCATAAATTAGTTACGACGACTCTGGGAATTTAGATGAGGCAGGGAAAGGCCTTTTTTATATAGGACTACACCAAGCGTACTTCAGCTCAGAAAATTCAAGGCTGCTTAATAATTAAAACAGTCAGGGGCGCCTGGGTGGCGCAGTCGGTTAAGCGTCCGACTTCAGCCAGGTCACGATCTCGCGGTCCGTGGGTTCGAGCCCCGCGTCAGGCTCTGGGCTGATGGCTCGGAGCCTGGAGCCTGTTTCCGATTCTGTGTCTCCCTCTCTCTCTGACCCTCCCCCGTTCAGGCTCTGTCTCTCTCTGTCCCAAAAATAAAATAAACGTTGAAGAAAAAAAAAAATAATAATTAAAACAGTCAAAGGCAAAGAAGGAAAAACACTGGCCAGATCCCCTAAGTAACACAAACAGATTTCTTATTTTCAGTTTTCTTCTGCTGAGTTTTCCAATGGACAGAGAGGAAAATGAGAATCTGAGGGCGTGTGGGTGGCTCAGGTGGTTGAGCGTATGACTCCCGATTTTGGCTCGGGTCATCATCCCAGGGTTGTGGGATCAAGCCCCATGTCGGGCACCACGCAGAGTGTGGAGATTCTCTCTGACTCACACTCTGTCTCTCCCCCGACCCCCATCACACTCTGGTGCTCGCTCTCTCCAAAAAAAAAAAAAAAGTAAAATGTTTTTTAAAAAAACAAGACTCTGAAAGGGTTACAGCGCTCATTTAATCATCAACAGACATTTTCTTTCTTTTTTTTTTTTAATGTTTGAGAGAGAAAGTGAGGGAAGGAGAGGGGCAGAGGGAGAGAAAGAGAGAGAGAATCCCAAGCAGGCTCCACACTGTCAGCACTGAGCTGGATGCGGGGATCAAACCCACAAACCGTGAGATCATGACCTGAGCTGAAATCAAGAGTCAGGCACTTAACCGACTGAGCCGCCCAGGCGCCCTGACAGTTTCCTTTGAGAAAAGTCCACCTCCAGCCCCTCCCTCCGACCCAGAGGATGAACAGGGCAGGCTGACAGCCGAGTGACAGCTTGGTAACAAATACAAACAGAATGACCTGATGCTGGACCCAAAGCTTCTCATCACATCTTTAACAATCCTTCCCTGGAGCCCATCTTTTCATGTCCCTTTAAGTCTTCAAGGAGTTAAATAAAGTACCGACCGCTTACTTTACCAGTAGTTCCGACCAGAATTTGCCGGTCTGAGAGAAAGAAA